CTGAAATTTTACACAAATACTATTTTTAACTTTTCATCTGTGATAATTTGTTAACCGTTTTGGTTTTTCTCTCTGATTTTCTTACTCTTGCTTTTCCTGAATTTTCCCATTGTTTTGCCAAAATTAAATAGGGCTATTGCCACCTGCTCCTAACTCATACACCAATGATCCAAAATGATTTCAACTATAATATTCAAATACAAGAAGTGAGTATTATTTGATTAATTCTCACTTCTTATATTTGAATATTATTGTTCCCAAGAACTTGGACTAGGTATTCGAACACATCTTATATGTGATCCTTATGAACCCACTTAGCAGTGAATAGGGTTTTTCATTTCCCGGTCTTTTGCTTGTCCCGGGATTCCGGGATAAAAGTGAACTATTTCCCGGAATCCCGGGATAGAATTAATTTTTAAGGTATACAAAATATCTTGAAATTAAATGATATAATTATTTTTCATTTTTTAAAGTAATTTTAAAGTTCTGTATCATCCAAAATCATATTAATAATGCTGTGTAAGATATATAATAAAAATTACCTTTGAATTATGTAGAAATTTTCACAAATAGAAAAAAATTTATTAAAGTTTGCTAGAAACTGCATACAACAACAACAACAACAACAAAAATACTTTGAATTGAGTTAAAAATTAAAAATTGAACTTAGATCAAACTTATAACTTAGAAGGTAATTTTCGTTTTTTAAATAAAATATAATACAAAATATTGTAAACTTTTATAAGATTTTAAAAAGCAAAGATGATCAATACTCCGATCACTCACTCTAATTCTTATTTTAGTAATGAAAAGTCTTGCTACCGAGAATGCCCTTTCCGATTCAATTGATGTGATTGGAATAGTGTTTAATGCATTTAAGAGAAGACAGATATTATGTGTTTTTTCACCTGTAGCCTGGAAGATTTCGAGTTCGTTTTCGAGATTGTAGTACTTCTTTCGCTCTCTAGTATTCTTGATTTGTCTACCTTGGCTGCTTTAATAGCGGCATCAAGCTTAGAGCTCGATAATTCGGCAATTCATTTGGCTTTAATAATCAGGTTTATGAAGAAAAACTTCATACTTGCAGACTTTATACTCATTTGTATCTTTGCCCAATTTGCACAATCTGGTGTTATGCATTTATTGAAGCTACTGGGCATGGTTAAAAATTAAGACAGCGTAAGCACAATTATTCCATATATTACAGGTTCTGACAAGTAAAGAATTTTCAGAATCCGGCCACAAATAAGCTATGTACTGATTATCAACCATTTGTGACATGCCATAACGAGCAAAACAAAAAAGAACTAATAAATAGGTTTAAAATTAATAAATACAAATGTATTCTGACAGTGAATGAGATAATTATGCTTTCTATTTGCAAAATTTCTTAACCTTAACACAAAATAAGAAAAAAAGTGAATTTTTAAGAAATTTGTGGGATTTCCCAAGATAAGAAAAATTTCCTGAAATATTTCCTGGGTTAAAAAAACAACCAGGATCCCAGAATCCCATTTGAGAAACACTAGCAGTGAACAAGCTGATCTGAGAATTAAGAACAGTATCATGCTTTTGAGACTGCCAGATGGCTGAGACGATTAAAAAATCAGCCTATTACTCTGAGAGACCCAAGATGAAATCTGAGTGAGCAACTCCCCAGGAATTTTTCATGGGCAATCCATCCTGGATATATCAGCCTGATATATCCAGGCCCATAGGACAGAAAGAGTTTATCCCTCACTATCTTATCACTATCATTCTGGGCCTGGCTAAATCATAACATGCATGAAAAAAACCCTCTTAGGCCCATAGGACAGAAAGAGTTTATATTTATGTCAATATAATGTCTTTTACAAAGACATGTAATGAACTGAATTGTAAATACAATTGGTAAGAATTGGTACATTATGCATCTGAGAACCCTTATTTAACTCCAATAAGTCCTGTATGTGGAAAACAGACTAATGTTTTCAATCCTTCTCTTTCTTCGGAGCTTCCTCAGGTCCAGTTTTTCTTATAAAAGTATGAATCCAAAACAAACTTAATTACAAGTTCTAAATGTATCTTCTTTTTATGAAATATCTAACAAAATTTCAAATTTAAAAATTATCCCAATGTGCATTCTTTTTGTACAATATTGAAAACTTTTTAAAAACTTCAATTATACAACTTAAATGAAGCATGTGCATAGTGATCAAAAGATTAAATGTAATCACAATCAAATCAAGTTTTACATTCATAAAAAATTTTGTTAGGTGGATGTTACAGAAAAAATTCCTGCCATGCATATGGAATACATTTTCCTTCCCTAAAGTTTATACATTTCTCCTTTGCTTCTACCTTAAAAATTTCCAGTGCCTCCTGGGCTCTGATGATATAACATTGTCATACACATCTGATGAGAGTGGTGTTCAGGAGATCAGCATGCATATCTTATTCAGATGCATAACAAGACATTTACATTTACATTTACTAAAGGTTTAGAAGGCCATCACCAATAGGTATAGCCTTGGAAAATAAAAGATAGAGTTAAAGTAGAAGTGAGAAGAGTGAACAGAAGAGAAAGATAGATAGAAAAGAGTGAACAGAAGAGAAAAATAGATAGGAAAGAGTGAAATATGAAAATATGATATCTCAGAGCACTTGACAAGTGCCATTTATTAAACACAAAAATAAAAGTACAAATAGTCAAAATACAGTGGTATACAATATAACTGCCTCTGTTTTGAGGCAGTAGGAACCCATTACATCTGACTTGCCTTGGAGCTCAACAAACAGTTACACATGAATGTGCAATTCGAATGGAGTGTAGACAAATCCTCCATGCCATGGGAGGGAACAAAAGAGAACAACCGTTTGTACAAAAAACATCCGGTAACCGGGTGCAAAGGTCCCTAGCAGCTAATTTGCCAAAGGGCCCACAAACACACACATGTGCAAATGTACAATCCCTTAGAGTAAAAGACAGACAAATCCCCCATGCCTTTGGAGGGAACAAAAGAAAGCAACTGTTTATAAAAAAACAGCCCCAAACTGGGCAAAATGGCCCTTAATGGCTATCTTGCCAAAGGGCCTGCACATAAACTAACATGTATGTACAGTACATCCCCTATCAAGGAGGAGAGAATCTCCATGGCCTTGGAGAATACAAAAATGCAAGTGACAAATTCTCCCATAAAGGAACAGGGACAATGACATTGTTCCTTCAGGTCCAGTGGTGCGTGACCTTTAAGACAGCTGGTTAAGACACCAACCATCTTAAAACAAAGAACAAAGAACAGTGCCACTATTTATGCCTGTGTAACATTACAAGCCTACCCTGCAATGCTGTGATGCACAGACAAAATTAGGGGCAGCCAGAGACACATACTCCCAGATCAGACTTTCACAATGCCAAGCCCGAGTTGATTGTTACCAGGAGGGTCACTTACCTAGTGGACTTCAAGATGTCTGTCGCCCTGTTGAAGGTTTCGAAAGCCTGGAAGGTCCTATGATTGGTAAGGAAATCTTTCATCTGGCAAGGCCAGTGAAAGCCNTAAGACACCAACCATCTTAAAACAAAGAACAAAGAACAGTGCCACTATTTATGCCTGTGTAACATTACAAGCCTACCCTGCAATGCTGTGATGCACAGACAAAATTAGGGGCAGCCAGAGACACATACTCCCAGATCAGACTTTCACAATGCCAAGCCCAAGTTGATTGTTACCAGGAGGGTTGCTTACCTTATCATCATCATCAAATAATCTTTATTACTTAGCCTGATACCACCTGGCATAATCAGGTAAGAAAATACAGAAATAATTATATTGATGTTACATGCAGATAACAATTGCAAAATAATCCGAAAACAAATGTTGGGAAAGAAGTAAAGAAAAAAGAAAATAATAAAATGAAGGTGAAAAGAAAATNTGCCTGCCAGAAGCCTTCTTTCTACTTTATATTTTGGACACAAGAAAATTATGTGCTTTGCATTACAAGACAGGGTGACAATGGTGTATTTTTTGTTATTAATTTCATAGGCATGCTCTTTCATCTTCTTTTTTTTATGGAGCAGATGATGGAACCAACGCACTGTAGATTATGTTAGAATCTTAGATCTATTATCAGGAGACTATATACTCCTGGTAGACGTACATGATCAGTGGTGTCCTTACTATTTCATAGTAGGCTGTAGATAGTGGGGTTGCATAAGTATGTAAGTTTTGCATTTTTTTTCTGGGCTATTTTCTTAAATGTTCTATCATAAACGTGTGATCCAATCAAAATCCTGACAAGTCAAAATTTCCCAAAATGATCAAAATTTCATTAGATGAAAATCTGATGTGCTATAAGAGGTATCAAACCTTTCTCCATGGCCATGTGAACTTGTCTTTTACAACAAGTTCACACTGATTACAGAATGTGATCTATATGAAATTTATTTCTTTTTTCTATTTTGAATAACAATCAAGATAGATATTTTATATAAGGTCATAGTCATAATGCCATTTAAGTTGTAATGGTTTTGAAAATATTTCCTTGTTTAAAAAACTTTTAGGTTTATTGCTATACATAACAATAAATNCATGCAGATAACAATTGCAAAATAATCCGAAAACAAATGTTGGGAAAGAAGTAAAGAAAAAAGAAAATAATAAATAAAAAATAGAAAAAAACAAACAAGCAAAAAAAATGAAAATAATAAAGTAAGTAGATGCCATTAACAGTAAGTGAGCTAAAGTAGATAAATATGCATATATACATTGACACATCTGCATTACCTTACACATTTAAGTGTTATCACAGTTCATGCTAGGGTAAAAAAATGAAGATGTATATAAACATGCCGCAAAATAGATGTTAAAACACCACAGGTTAACATATACCATTACAAGTGAAGGAACACATAATAACTTCATTGAATACGTTGGACAGTCTTTAGCCTTCGCAAAATATCTTGAGCCACAGATAAACAACGATGCATATCAAGATGCCACTTGTAATTTAACGAATATCACTTCTAATCAGATAAAGTTTGATAAGTTCTTTGAAGAGGCCAAAATTTACTTTATTATGAACAAGGAAGTCTGGGTTTACAGGCCAGTCCATATTGTTTATATTTACTTGCTGCCTCCAGCGATGCCTAATATCCTCAAGCATGGGGCAGTTGAAAAGATAGTGTAAAACACCATCTTGAATACCACAGAGATTACAGTGATCATTATCTATGAGATGGAATCTCTTAAGATATACACGAAAGCGTCCGTGTTCAGTTAAGAATTGCGTCAGTTCATGACTGGGCTGCATCCATTTGTTCTGCATACGGTTTTGGATTCTTGGAAAAAATCTCTTTGTAATGTGCTGACATGAGATCTTGTCCCAATCAGCCTGCCACGCATTGATGGCTTCGTTCCAAACAAGTGACTTGAGTTTCGATTTGGGAATGTGGACATAATCATGATGATTGGTATGATTCAGTGTTGCATTACGTGCCAGATAATCTGCTCTTTCATTTCCCGGAGTGCCCTGGTGACCCCTGATCCAATTAACGGCATAACTGTTAGATGATATTGCAACTTCAGCGAAAATATCGATAGAGATGGGGTTTGTGGTGTCCTTGTTTCTTAGTTTGGTCACAGTGGCAGCACTGTCAGTGTAGATATTTACGGGCATATTGACAAGATTGATGTTACACTATTTGATAGCCATTAATACCGCAAAGATTTCGGCTTGAAAAATAGAGCACTCAGGGTGCAGCTCAAACGTCTGATTATGAATCTCACCACCTGCATCAAAAATCACAAAGGCACTAGCTGTGCCTTCAGTAGTTTTAGAGCCATCCGTGAAACCTTCAATCCTCGTGGGTACTTCACGTGAAAGAAGTCCCGTTCTCCAGGCAGGATGTGGAAGGGTGGCCACGCGCCTTTCAATCTCATACATTGAGGCATCAAAAATAGTGTCATTTATGCAGACATTTCTGCCCCTGGAGATCAGAAAACGCTTGCTGCTGAAAAGAAGATAGTGTAATATGGGAAGTTTTCCAGCCACTACTGGGAGAGCTGCGTTAGAGACAGTGGAGTAACTCCGGGTCAGACGGATAAGGGCCCTTCGCTGCGCCGTGCGGAGAAGTCGGTGATTGTGCGAATGTTTGGCAGCCTTGCACCATACAACAGACGCATAAGAAACGATTGGCAGAAATAAGCAATCGTAAATTGCATTCGTGGCTTCAAAGCTGAGGCCCCAGCTGCTTCTGGCAACCTTTAACAGACCATTAAATATCATATTGCTGCGACTTGTAACATGCTTTATGTGGTATTTCCATGACAGTTTGTAATCAATAACCACACCCAGGAAGGTGAGATGTTTGACGATTTTAATGGATTTATTGCGATAACGCACACATGGAACACGCTTGTACAAGTCAGTTGTACGTGGGAGTGAGAAGACAATGCCTTTGGTTTTATCCATATTGAAAGAAAGTTTGTTGCTATCACCCCAGCTGTGTATCTTCGATAAAATATCTGTTGCGGTACTCTCGATGTGTTTCCTGGATGATGCTGGAAAAACCAAAAATGCGTCATCTGCGTAAGCGAAGACGCGATGTGATCACCAAGATTAGTCCGGAAAAAACTGTCAAAGAGAATGTCCCAAAAAAGGGGACCACACACGGACCCCTGTGGGCAACCTCGCTGAAGCTCACGAGTGCACTTCAAGTGCCCAAACGTGAATAAAGCCTCCCTCTCTTCGAAATAATTGGCTGCCAGATAGTAGAGATTTGTAGGGCACTGATTGTCACTAAGTCTTCGTAGTATTTGAGGACACCAAGCTGAATTGAAGGCATTTTTAAGTCTAGACTCAAGCCAAAAACATACTTATTATCATGAAGAAGAACTTTAACATGTTCCACCAAATCCAATACGGCATCTATGGCACCTCTTTGGCACCGAAAGCCATACTGTGCCTCATGGAATAAGCCATTAGATTCCCAAAACCAATATATGCGGTTGAATAGAAGCCTGTCGAGAATTTTCCCCAGTGTAGATAGTAGAGAGATATTGCGCATATTCTGGGTATTAAAGGGCTTACTGTGATTTTTGGGAATTATGACAAAGAGAGCACTCTTCCACTGCTTTGGAAAGATGCCAAATTTCAAACTAGAGTTCAGGATGTTTAATAATAGCATTGGACGAGTCCTCCAGATTTGAAGGATGATTTCCCTGTCTATTCCATCCATCCCAGTTGCTTTCTTTTTCGGGAGGCGGTGAATAGCATCATTCACCTCAGAGAAGGTAAATGGGGGATCGTCTTCCGAAAGTAGTGCGTCGTTCCTACGATTCCTTACTGCGTTTTGCTCAGGGGTGTCCTCAGATAGTGAGTCTGTGGGGCAGAAGTAATCCAGGAGACTGGATATGGTGATCTCCAAATTACCGGGATTGTCAGGATCACTACAAAGAACATTACGATACTTAATTTTATTTGCACAAAGTTTATAAATAAATCCCCATGGATTCCCTCCAGCTCCAGAGCAAAAGTTTCTCCATGATTCCAGTTTAGCCTTTTTGATGGCTTCTTTATAGGCAGTTTGATGAGTGAGATAGCACATCCTCAATTCACCTCTTCGCTGGTCATGGCAGCGTTGATAGATCCTGCGAAGTCTGTTGTTAGTTTGACGCATCTGAGCGAGATTATGGTTCCACCATGGTGTGGCTCGCCCTTTGTTCCTCTTTTTTGGAATAGCTTTATCACAGGCTGCAGAGATATTGCAAATGGTAGTTTCAATGTAAGTCTTAGCCTGTATATATGAGTCATTTCTGTGTAAAGGCATGTCAATCTGATTAATCATTTCGCAGAATTTGCCCCAGTCTGCAGATTTAGTATTAAAACACTTCTTATGTGAGGCTTCTCCACTGTACTGATTGCAGTGGCCTATACTGTAGGTCAAGCATTCATGCTCCGTAAGACAGTCAAAGGTACCTACCTTCCAACCCTGTATCATGGAACAAAGGTCATCCGAACAAATTGTCAAATCAATCCAAGAATCCCCGTTCACGGTTGAGAAGGTAGGTGAGGAATCCGGGTTATTAATGACAAGAAGATTATGAGCGGCAATAAAGTCTTCAAGTGCAATACCTCTGTCATCTTCACTATAGCCTCCCCACGTAGATGAATGGGCATTGAAATCGCCAGTAATTAAAAAGCTGTTGCCTTGAAAATGAACCATGGCAGTGTCTAAATTCCGGAGAGTCTCTAAAATGTCACTTTTCCTAGAGCAATATACATTGAAAATGACGATCCTTCGGCTGGGGAAACAGACCTCAATACAGACACAGGTGGTTGTAGAGAATTTCGGATGTTTGATGATTGCTAAGTCTGAATTGACAATGATGTCCGCGGCCCATGGTTGCCCATCTTGACTTTGAATGATGATGTCTCTGGTACTGAAGCATGCAACTCTATTGTTGCGGCAATAAGGCTCCTGTATTAATGCAATGTCAAAATTGAGCAGCTCATTACGAAGTTGAGAACTGGCCGAGATAGACCGTCCCAAGTTTACCTGTACAATATTAATTTTGAAGTTCTGTAAACTGGTATTGTTAGCACTATTAAATTCCATAATCTATCCTAGACAAAAGTTGAGCCCTAGCACGTAAGAAAGCGGGACATGTCTTATCAAAAGCATTATGATTCACTGCTCTGTTTTTATCCTTGGCACAATTCACGCAATTTGGAACCTCATTTTTCCTATTACAATCCTTAAAGGCATGTTTCCCCCCACATTGACTACAGATACATTCTTCAGCCTCGCAATTTCTGGCGAAATGGCCAAATTTCAAACATTTAAAACATTGATATACAGGGATAAAATCAACCACCTTGCAACGAGTCCATTGCAAGTTGATCTTTCCTTCCTTAAGGAGAAGTTCCCTAAGATCCGGGGATACCACCACAACCCATGAGATATAGACAGAGCTGCGCTGCCCGATTGGAAAGCGCAACTTGAATTTTTCTTGAAATACTGCCCTTGAGAAGCATTCAGCAATACAGTCATTTTGCTCATAAATAATATCTATAAGTTGTTCTCTGCTGATGGACTTAGGCACCGAAATTAGTTTGACTAACGGACTTCTCTTCTTTGGAATGGTTGAGTGAAGACCCTCAACCGTGGAGACAGCTCGGCACAGAATATCCACATCTTCCTGTCTACTCAGATCAATAGCCACCCCTCCCTTTTGAATGCGCCGTATTCTTTGGACACCGATTTTAAGATTGTGTGGGTTGATGTTGGCAGTTAAAGCCTTCCTGGTCAATTCCGAGTCATTGGATTCCAGTTCACCGTACACAAGCACTGTATGACAGGGCTTAGGAGAGCCCATGGATTCTCCTGCAGGCTTGGCAGGATGTTTGACAGCATCGCTGTAAAGTCTGGGGGTTCCCGAGAACGTCTGATTGGGGGCAATCGAGATCATCTGTGAACTAAGAGTGGTCTTCATGACATCAGAAATGATAGCCTCTGTCTTCACAGCTTGAGCGGCAAAGGCATCGGTGAGGTCTTCCCTGGTGATGAGTGAGTCCAGGCGCTTGCCAATGAACTCCGGTACAGATGATGACATCACAGAACTCGATAAGTCGATTAGGCGTTGAAATTGGTCAGTAATATGCCTGGAGTGAGCCCCAGAGCCCAATTTTCCATTACTATTGGCGGTAATATATCCTTTTAGCTCGTCAAAGAGCCTATGCGCTTCATCCAAAAATTCCGACAGATAGCAGGACCCCATCGTGACAAAACCAAAAACAAAAAATAATAATAATAATAAAAAAAAGACCGCACTTGCGAAAAACAAACACCGTGCTGAGAAACTGATACTAAAGACCACTGAAATATGCTAACCTAGCAGCTAGAACTAAGGTACAGTACATAACTATCACTAATTAGAAACACACCCTCAAGTAAAGGAATAAATAAGAAATAAAAGTTAAAATAAGCCCAATACAGCAAACCGAAGAAACAAAGCATAAAACCCAGAAATTAATGCTAAAACGCAAAGTTAAAACTATGATTTGTTTAAATAATAAAAAGCAGATAACAACGGTAAAAGCTTAAACCATCGTTAAAGCCGTTACGATCACGGTTAGGATATTTGGTGACCGTTGAGAATACGTTGGTAACGAAAATTCAAAAAAAAAAGAAAATCTCATATTAGGAGTTAGGGCGAAATTAAAACCCTTGTATCTCAGCTAACAATTAACCTAAATCCACCACACTTACAGAACTAGTATTTTACACCACCCTGCATAAAACCCCTTAATGCTGTCCCCGAAAATTTAACCTCCCGCTCGCTAGACTCGACCGAAAATCCGAAAGTTAAAACTCCAATTATTCCTTCCTAATCAACCCAGATAAATAAATTGCCTACCGAATTACTCGGGGTGTCTTGCCGGATCTAATGATACCAAGCACGGAAACAAAAACTAAAACTTCCGCCAAAAATTTCGAAGAAATAACGAGCACAAACAGATACGTCTTAACGATCCGACGCCATCTCTATAGTCCATCTACGGTGCCATCAGTGGTGTTCTTTTAATTTTAAATTATTTTTACTTTATCCACTTTCGAGTTATTTTTCTTAGGTTATTCGTACCTTGAAACGGCACGCTAAGTTTAATTTGTAGCTTTAGAACGACTTAATTCTTTTGTTTCATCTTGCTAAGTTCTTCCTTTCTGGCTAGTATTTTCGACACGAGAAAGTCTTCGATTCGTGTGGAATTTGACTATTCAGACTTTATAAAATCTCGACGTTTCGATACCACACGACAGAATAAATAAAAACATACGAAAAATGCCGAAAAAGTATATAGTTACGTATAAACGTGTATGCGAGTGTCTCGTAATACTATTTCTTTGGGGAAAATAAAGAAACAAATTTTGATGTTATAACTTGTAGAGATTGGATATAATCCTGTTTAGACCCATAGTTATGCATATCGAATTTTGATGGATCTTAGTATATACGTTACAGAAGCAATGGTAAATTGATTTATGCAATAAAAAATAGTTTAGAATTCTACCATTATGTGAATATGTGAAGCCTAAAGAATAAGAATAACAATTCAGAAACATTAAACATTATTCGGTCACAAAATATGTTCGTCGTGTGCTCCATCAACATTAACGTTATAACGATAAAGGCATACTACATTAAGTTCAATGGTCGACAAAAGAAATTTTTTACAAATTTAAGCCACATAACTTGAAATATTAGCATTTACATAAAGAATTTCAATGCTTATTCTACTAACTCAATATTTTAGAAATCCCCACAACCGAACATCAAGGAATTCAGGCATAATAAACGAAGCCGCTCGGTGTTCTGAGAAGTTCTAAATATTACGATTCTCGCCGAAGTCAATACGAAGCAGTTCCTTGGCTTGAAATCTAATGGGGGGGGTTAATCCATCATGCATGAAGACAGTAGTGTGTAAACATTGCCGTTCAAGTAAGGTAGGAATGACATGCTGTTGAAAGAGTTCACAGTAATGCATACAATAGGAAAGTATATTTTTTTAGGCTTTTAACAGTAAGATTTAAGGAAAACAACTTTGGATGCAGTCTTTTTTAAAGTTCATATTGCGTATAAATTTTGTGAGAAACGCTATCCGGCGACAACTTTTTATAGCAGAAATCACTTTTCTATAGTCTATGTAAGAAATGTACTTAAGTTTCATTAAATTCCGATAAGCAGAATGAGCTCGACAGGAGAGTAAATAGGGTTTCTTTAATTACACTCAACCTATACATAATTGACATTAAAAATATTTAATTTTGGTGGTTATAGGTCGCGGGGTGGAGAGATAGAAAGCGGTCTTGTGTTATATTCCTGATGATAATAGAATTAATGAAAACTACGCCTTATCAGTGTTTTAACGCCAGACAAGATTTTACTTTATGGCTGGATAAGATATGCAACTGATTGCTAGACTTTAATTAAAATAACTTTATTTTCACGAAAATAGCATTCCTTACGTTTTTCATTTATTCTCTGTATACCATTGTTGCACAAAAACAACCGATAATGACAGTGAGGGCCAAATTTCACTTACTTTTAGCAATCAGCGAAACATTAAAATTTTCTGTTAGGACAGAGTGATGCTTGTCATCTACCCGATCTGTTTCAGGATAATATTTGTGAATAGAAATTAATCAACTTTTGGTTCAGATCGAACAGTTTATATTGGTAATTGAGCTTTCCTATCTTTAAGCTGTCCACTCGTTCATCTATGTAATATTGTTCTCGAAATTCAGCGAAGAAAAGAGGACAGACAGCCAGACGTACAAACGACAGTGGAAATTTATACATCTACAGTTTTTTCAAATTGTAGCCCAACAATTTCTTCACAAATTGCGACAAGTACAGAAACAAGAATTTATCCTTATACAAAATTCAATACGTTAAAAATATTTACATTCAAAATCAATTATAAATAAAACGTCTGAAACGTTTCAATTGTCTATTGTGAGGACCAGAAATTTTGTGTTTTAAACTAAAATTTTTTTATAAACTTTATAAAGACGGAACGAGAAAACAGAAAATTAAAAGAGAAAAAGGGGGAAAATAAATTGAATAAAAAACTCGATTTCCACGAGTTGGGTTCCTTGTTGAGATGAGTACATTTCTGTGTCACGATTGTGTCACCCGTCCCCTCATTGGACCAAGAAGATAGTCATCGCTGACGTAATCGGAGAAAGGTTCGAAATGAGGACTTGATTATAAAAGGGTGTGGAAGTTATTATTGGTGTCGGTGTGTGCACTCCGAACGTCTATCTTCCGCCGAGATTCCGTCAACCAACATCTCCTTCTCGCCTACAAGACTAGAACTGACTCAACTGACCTCAATACATATTCAACTGGAAGGAACTATTGAACGTTTTCTGTGCTGGACTTGATCTCCTATACTACCTAAGGTATTTATTCTGCCCGCGCACTATTGTACACACTCTCTCTCCGCGTAAACTAAACGCGAAATCAGTTAAACTAGAACTAGAAAATGATCGATGAAACTATAAGTAGAACTATTTTATTTACTAATGTAAACCTACGTTAAACATAAATAAACGGTTGTTTATGTTAAACCCTTCTCGAGTGCAGTTTCTTCCGTTTTTCTCTCCATTCCGGGTCCAACCCTCATACCTTTCCGCTCGCGCGAACATGTGGTCTCTGTATCGACCGAAGGATACAGTAGTATCAAAGTCGGTATCAAAGTAATACCGACCCTGTGGTCACACTATTGTTCTATAAATTTGAAAATACTAATGTTAAACTTTACATATAATCTCTTGTTTTGTGTTTTGTCTTGGGTAAAGTTAATATGAACACGTCAACAAGATTAAAATCATATTTCTAAAACAATACGTTGACCACAGACTAAAATATAACTACCAATTAAATAAATTCTCGATGAAAAAGTTTGCAATTAAGCCGAAAGGATGAAATAAAGTTTACTGTTCGTAGTTTCGTTTTAGTTTAAAGAGCTTCAGTTATCAATAGAAATTTTGTTGAATATCCATAATTCATTAATCCATTAAAAGCAACGGAAATATCTGTCAAAGTCGAAATGACATACGACAAAAGTCCATTTAGACGGAATTTCAACCATTTCTGTTTCGAAAACAAGAATTTTTCCGTTATGCCGATAACAACAATTCTTCAGAAGGTTAATTGTTTAATCCTCTGTTTCTGGAGATAATTCATGCATCAAGGCTTTGACATTTCAGAAAGGAATTTTCTTTTAAAATTTCTGAAATAATTGCGATTCCGTGCAAATGGACTTAACTCATATCAATTACGTTTGACAGATGTTATTGCTATTTTAAATGAATGAATTGTCATTTGTCACAAAATTTTCCTTTTACATAATACAAGTTTTCGTTATTCACCTTTATAATTTTTATTTGTCTTCAGTTACAAATTTTAACACTAATAAACTTTTTTTGTTTTAAGTTATTCAATGAATTTATTTAAACCTATAACATAAAATTCGGTATAAATTTTATCAAATATTTAATATTGCAAAATAACAAACAAATATATGTATAGAAAATGACTTTTAAAAACGTCAAGTATATCACTAGAATAGAAAGTAAAAACTACGTGAAATTCGGAAGAACTCACACGCTGTTAAACCAATATATAAAGTAACATGTAATGTAAAATATATCTTTCTGTTTCACTTACACATTACTTTGAGTCGATCGACGTTTCATATGTTTGTAGCCTATATGTGAACATATATTTATGTGTACACATAAAAAGCAAGCTAAATGTCATCTATGAAGTACATAAACGCATAATTTATATACAGTATAATATAGATCAGAGTTATAAACTTTATCGAGAGTTCTTTTATTGTGATATCATTAAAAACTTACTTTTTTCAAAAACCTGTAAAATTTTCAAAATATAATGCATGTTCTGTCGAACAAGCATCAAGTTATAAACCAGCAACAGATCTTTTGAGAGTGTTCTTTTGAAGAAGAAACAAAAATGTAAGGGTTTCTTAATTGAAATTATAAATTATAATTGTAAAATTCCAAAAATTTACTTTAAAGAATGTCACAACATTAAATGAAAAATAATAAATCATTTTATAACATTTAGACTTAAACTTTTGATTTAAAAAAGAAGAAAAGGAAAAAAAAATGTAAAGTACAGTTTAAAAATGCTCCTTCGAGTAAATTCATCTAAAAATGTGAAATAATGTTAATCATCATTCTTCAAATATAATTTTTTCTATAATAATTCCTATAATGTTATAACCAATTGTTACTATCGTTTAGAATAACTGCTAGATTATATCCATTTCACCAAATAAGTATAGTATTTGGTTGTGGTTAAATAAGGAGTTTGTAAGAGACATGGCGACATCAAATCGTAGATACTTTAGAAGCGCGCAGTACAATGTTTTACAGCCAAAAATACGGGTTGAGCAGACGAGCAGTAATTGCACGTGAGATATCGTACAATACCGGCTAATTTATGAGTATTCTACAGTATTATGTTTATGTAAGTCTTTGTTCAAGTATATTAAACACCGAATTTTTTAGTAAGATGTGTTTTTCAATTCATATATTATACTAAAGATTTAGTGTAATGTCTTATTGTTCATTCGCACATGATATAAAACAAAACAGTTGAATATTTCCGCACTTCATTATAGTAATTTTTTAAAATAAGAAGCACCTCTTTAATAAATATATATACAGTGAAAACTGTTTAGGCGACCACCCTTATTAGACGGGCACCTGTCAAAACGGACAGAATTTTTTGGCACCGAATAGTTTATCCATAGAATCTTCGTATAAGTTACCCGTATTAATTTTAAGATAAAAGTTAAAGTTTTCAATAGATGCTACAATTGCAAGGTATTCTCTCTCACTAATGGTTTACCTTTTTACATATTTACGTAAGAACCTGGAGAAATAGGCAATCGGAAGTAATCCTTTAACAGGGTGTTCCTGTTTCATGATACTCCCTATACCATCTCCACTAGCATCTGTATAAAAATGTGTAGAAAGCAAAGGGTTAATCATCTCGTTTAACTTTCTATTATCCATACATATTCTAGTTTTCCCCTTATCTCTTTTCTTAGCTAATTTGACTGGGGCAGCATACGGAAACGACGATGGTTCAATTAATCCAGATTTTAGCAATAGTTCCCCCTGTCTATCAATCTCTTCACTATCACGGTAAGCTGCTCTCTAAGGTTTGAGAGTTATGGGCCTCTTCGTCCTTAAATAATATTCTAGGGGAAGCTATTTTTAGGGCTGGCACTGAAAACTTCTGAGCAGAAAAACTTCCCGAAATCCTAAAATAATGCTCTGTAGCTACTGCTTATGTTCATACTTCAGTTTAGGGTTAACAACATCTCCAATGTTAAAAATATTTAGCAGAGATTCCTTTAAGGAAGTAGAACTATCCCTACCCCTACAAGTTCCTGCTGCATTCTGAGCCAAAGAAGGTGGGAATACATGGTTAGGAGCCTAAGGGGTCTCCCTCTGATCTATCTTATATAAGCTATTACTATTGTTACTTATGCTATTACAAGAATGACTAATATCTCTACTATAGTGATTATTTGTGGAACTAGAGTGATTTGAACGTACTTCAAAAGTAATAGGATCTAATGTTAGGATAGTCTGATTTTGGGAGATCTAATTAAGACTAGAATCTATGACATGACTGAATTTTCTAATGTCTGGATAAGATCAAATTAAGTAAGGGATACTACATGGACAAATACCTGGATACTACATGTAAAGTAATGCTTTTTGTCAGGCTTTCAATCTTAAGGAGGATTGATACATTAGCCATGCTAGTGGTAGATCCTGTAGCTGTAGTGATAATCTTCACACCCGATTACTATTGAAAGTATTTGGATAAATTATCTAATAGTCCTTGGGATATAAGGCTGACGGAACTTCCTGTATCGATGAGTGCAGGCATCGTCTTGTTCTCAATTGAAACAGTTAGTAGTAACGTACCTATAGTCTTTCGCAACAATCCGTCAACTTTTCCATCTACATGTTGAAAACCGAGGTGACATCCGAGCCGATATTATTCACTAATTCATCTATCGGCAAGTAGGTACATTAAGATCTCGAAAAAATAAGTCAATAGTTACAAATCTCTAAAAATTCGGGCCCGTAAACCTTCGGGCTCACACTAACATCGAACGAAGTTACTTGTATCGTAACTACTAACACGTAGAATAAGCATAAATTTATAACTACTGTATTTATTATTATACGAGTATTAATCAGAAAATTATCCGGCTGTAACATATCTACTTTATAAATATTTTTACCGTAAAATTGCCCATCAGATGTAATAAGTAACAAAAAACCCGTGTAAAATTTAAAACTGTGCTTTATTATTCATTATTAACATCAATAATATTGATACGTAAATACATGAATTTTAACACACATAGTGAATCCCAATAACGCGTAATCGAAATGATCGTGATAACAATAACATAATAAAAGTTATAATGCTGACAAAACGCAAAAAAGTATTACAATCTTTAATAAATGTTTACATTTTATGTATTGTAACAGTTTCGTGTACAATAAATAGTGTTACTATTTGTTTGCAATGTTATGAAGTTGCACTGGATCGAAAGTCAATTAAGCATAATACACATTCCAGCTTGACAGCAATAACTTCCAAAATGAATCTGTTTAAAACCGGAATTCTGCTGATGACAAGTAAAAAGTTTTGCTTTAAGCTTCCTGTTACAGAATATTGCAAGCGTTCAGATTTCTTATGCTTTGTAGCAGTGCTGGCCTCGCTCATACGCGACATTGGCAAATGCTTATGATTAAACCAAACAAAGCTCAATTAGCAATTGCTTAAAATATTTTTAACTTATATTTGCCCCCTATTATAAATACTGTATTACAATTCCTCAATTGAAGATTAGGTACAGTACAAACTGAAAACGTCAAATTATTACACCTCGAAGGCCATCTTCCTCACATACTGCTGACAGAAGCGTTTATGTGTGGGTGTACAGTACATACAGGTAAAAAATACTTAGTAAATACATTCTCCTTAACCAGGGATGTTCAGCAAATTTTCCTGATCAAAACGACCAGATTGTGTACTGTTTAATGCCATTTATTTCGGAAAATCACAAGAAACGGTTTGAGCGATTACCGCTGCAAATCTTTCTATAAGTAGTAAATAAAATTTCTAACACAGGATTGCGATATAGATTACATTACCAGAAAAGTGACGATGTTTAATTGAAACAGAAATGTACAAAATATACGTTTTGATAAAAAATAATCGCAATGTTTTATAAATATTTTTTAATCACGTACAAAATAATAAATTGGTAATAATCATAACAAAATTCCAAAGGAGTAACGTAGACATCGATGCTCAGCATATATATAAAGTATACTAAAATCAATTATAGTAGTAGTATTATAGGAAAGAAATCCTGAATATAAAATTATGTTTGTGAAAATTAATATTAATTATTGATTCGAATATCATCTTTCGAATTTTTATCTACTCTAATAAATGATGTGTAATCATCTTTAAAATATAACACTGGAATTCAGTTTACAGGTGAAGAGTTTTATTTTATAAGATAATTTTATCGCGTCAGTTTAGAGAATAGAAAATTACAAAACATCAGAATATAACTTTCTCACTTAATATTGAAAAATTATAGAATATTTAAAACCAAACGCAAAACTTTCGATAAATCAAATGTTCGATTATTCGGAGGAAACAAAGAACATGGAGATGAAAGTGAATATTATAGATTAACAAATTTAAATTTGGAATCTTTTCATCGTTTTTCCAATTATTAATTCGACAAGGAAGCAAGCGAACGAGAGAAGGTAACCGATAACGAGAATTGCGAAGGCTCCATAAAAATGTCTTAAAACCAAGGGGTCAACATTAGACTTAGTTTCTTTACTCATACTAACTCTCTCTTTAATATGTTTCGTAATAATATCTCTACTATAGTGATTATTTGTGGAACTACAGTGATTTGAACCTACTTCAAAAGTAATAGGATCTAATGTTAGGATAGTCTGATTTTGGGAGNTTTCCAATTATTAATTCGACAAGGAAGCAAGCGAACGAGAGAAGGTAACCGATAACGAGAATTGCGAAGGCTCCATAAAAATGTCTTAAAACCAAGGGGTCAACATTAGACTTAGTTTCTTTACTCATACTAACTCTCTCTTTAATATGTTTCGTAAGCGGATTGTTCCACGTGTCAACTTCTGTATCATGATCTTGAACGCCACTTTCGAATATATTGTACATTCTGAAATAAATATAAAGTGTAATTACGACTTTTTTAATCTAAGAATTCGTATACTTAAAATAGAACTTACATATTGTTGAAATATTCTTTATGGGGAAATCCTTTTCTCATAACGAATGCTGAAGGCATGGAAAATAATACATCGTCAGACGCTGTCACATCCATGGCGGTTTCGAAATCAGAAATTTTCATGAAACCCATATTGTAAATGTATGCAACACGAGTGTAATCGAAGGATTCATCGTTACCGTTCATAAACAAATCGTATGTATCTATGATATCATTGCTTAAAATTTCTTCATATAAAATTTTCAAATAACTTAGTTTGGAATTCTGAAAATAGAGGTTTTTAAAAAATTTAATATAAATTGATTTATATTGTTACGAAACGACATTTCGAATGCATTACTGGCATTTTAAAAAGAGACAATTTCATGAAATAAGCTAAATACTTTTTCCTACTTATTTATAATTGACTGGATTCTTACTCTCCTAGTTCGTTCTCGAAGAGTAATGAAACCCAACGTTACTTTAACGTTTCAAAACGCGTACGCGACTCTGTTTTCCTCTGAAATTTCTCAAATTTCCTACTATTGAATAAGCCGTGGTTAATGAATATCTCTTTCGATTAGATTCTCGGTGATTCAAAGAAAGTTCTCGAGGATCGAAATATTTTACAACAAATAATTTTTTTTGTTTGGTTTTGGAATTAGTTTTTTTATTTCGACACCATCAACTCAATTTGATTTCTGACGTAAAAAATTACCGTTTGACGTCGTATAAGAATACACTTTTTATACTTGTCTCACGTTATTTCTACGTCAATCGTCCAATTTTCGATTCTAGAAAATGTCCGATTTTTTTATTTTTAATAATCGAAATTTATATTATTTTTATATTATACATTTAATTATTACTGTACAGTAATACTTCGTCTTACGCTACCCCGACTTACGCGTACCCGGAGTTACGCGATTTTCAAATCTCGTCGATTCGTCTTTTGTTTGAGCGCCACGCAACCCTGGATTACTCATTCCCCTCACACTATTGTTCGGCTTACATGTTCGGATGTGTTTGTTATATCTACGGAGCCTTCAGAGACTCTATGTGGTGATTTCTTGTAACAATGAACGAATCAAAAGACGATATAAAATTAACGAGAACATTTATTAGCTTACATACACCCGACTTGCATTTTACACACATTGAGAAATTATACCCCGACTTACGCGAATTCCACTTACGGTATCGCTCGGTGCCACCTATCGCTTATGTTCGGGGTATTTCTGTGTAATAAATTAGTACATTAATTTATTATACAGTAATTTGAATTTTGAATTACTTCTGTGTAATAAATATATCTCTTGTAAAAGTCTTCGTTCAGCTGTAAGGTGTGTTATTTAATAATAAGTACTTTACATTTGGTATATAAAATATATTTCAAGACGGGGAAATGGATTATGGCCGAATTTCATTTTTAATATTACATTGTGCTTTTAAATTTATACACAAAGCTTTCTAATATAAATAGTAAAATCATTTTATTGACAATAAGAAAATCGTCATTTGTTTACGATTGGTTTAAAAAATCTGTCTTTAACAGTCGATCGAGTTAAAGAAAATGTTGAGGAACTTTTTTCTATTTTTCAATGAATTAAGTCTTCGGGTCAATCGTGTTATCGTATTGCTTTTTATTTGCCATTACTGACCTTACTAGAAATATTCATTTATTTTCCATAGAAATCAAACCTGGTACCTCGACTGACTAATTCATGACTTGAATCTCGTTTGCCTGAACCATTCTGAGATAATGTTGACAATATGATTGGACTGCCATGACCAGTCAGTTTTCCTACAAAGAAAAGTACGTGCGTTTTTAGCTGGTGGATGTGTTTTTAGAATCTTGTTTTTTTTCCAGTTAAGAACATAATCGTTTTCCATCGAGTTAAATCAATCGAAAACCATCACGGAATCCGTACCCATTAATTGTTTGAAGAAATTTCTCTTTTTTTAATTAATATGTAGCAATTGTGTTAGCAACCATCAGACCTAATATCACTCTTTTTCATTAATTACAATGCTTCCAGATATATTTTTCCGGGTCACATAATTTCACAAAAGGTATATACGCAATTATTTAACTAGCTTTTACACTCTATAGTAAAAAGCTTCGGGTCTTCTGCGGTTGTTTTCTGTATCCGCAAATGTGAACAGATTACGAATTGTTATTGTAAAAGCGAAAGTGAAAATTTAAACTAACATTTGTAACAGAATTTTCAGCAGACCTTTTGCATTTATAGCAAAAAGTGTTTATCAAATTGGAAATTTAACTTGTTAAAATGATATCTAAATGAGGAAAGAAATAAAGATAACACAATAAAAATAGAAAAAAAAAACAAATTAAATAAAACAAGAAGATACTCATATGAAAGCATCAAAATTATTAAAGTTTCTCGTTGTTTTCAAGACAGATATGATCTTTGTGAAATAAAATGTTACCTTCAAATAAAACAATAAAAATAAATTGTTGATATGAAAACAGCTTTAGATTTCTGAATTTTTAATGAAGCAATTTATGCACTTTTAAAGCTACGGAAAACCCACAACTTCGATAACACTACCTAAATATCTCTGTACACTTGACGGATTTTACTGTATTTATAAAGAAATTTAAAATATTTTACGTGAGATATTATTTTATGAATTTACGAACAGCAACTTACCTTAAAGAAGTTCATCACATACGGGAGATCAGGTGCAGTACAAGTAAATTCTCCTTTCTGGACAGCTGATGCTAATTCTTCAAACGTTTTTGGCAATGGCTGTTTTTCCTTGGTAATCATAAATGAAGTTAACGTTCCACCATAAGCCCAACATATGATCAAAACCGGAAGAATCCAGAAGACCAAGGCCACTCTGGAGGATGAGCGTTTAACGACTTTGAAGTCGATTCCTCAAATAAATATAAAAAATCTAATGTGCACCAAATACAGTTTTTAAATGAAAATATTGTCTTGTGTTACGTTGATTCTTACCTTGGTTAAGATAACTTCCAAACAGAAACCAAACGAATCTTTTTTTATTCCAATCTTTGTTATTGTCTTCTGGTGATTTGTCGTAACTCAGTATTATAAATATGAGTATTCCAGCGACCAAAGTACAGAAGAAAATCACCAGCCACACCTTTATATGAAAGGTTTTCTGTGTTTGAAGTAATATTTAAAATTTTGTATCAATTAAATTTTTAAGCGTTACTTACCCAAAAAGAGAACGGAGAAATTAGTGATTTCCAAGAAAGTTCTAGATTCTTGTTTTTAATGACGAATTGAAAAGGTAAAAATATGTTAATTGGAGTAAACTCCACAACATCACTCATATCAGCATTAATAAACTGGGACTGGTCGGTGATGTCGGCGTCCTGTTAAAACGTAACATTGATAGTTTACGAAGTGATAATAATTATGTTTCTGGTAATGCATTCGTAAAGAACAAATAAAAATAATTTAGATTTGAATAGAAAACGTTTATTTTAAAATTGTCAAAATGCGAGTCTGCAAATTTTAATTCTTTTTTTTTATTTATTGGATGTAAAATACACGCTTTCTACTTTGAAATTAGTACAGAGATGCTCCTGTACAATGATTTTTAGCAATCCAGTCGTTCCCCACATTTATTGATCACTTTTCAAAGAAAATTTTTGAACTGAAATAATGTGACTTCCGAGAAATACTACACTTTTTTCTTAAACGAATTGTATGGAAACAGCCTTTAAATATATATACTACCTAGTAATGGAGTTACAATGCACGAAGAAGAAATAGAGGAAGATTTCTTACTTATGTGTTTTTTGTAATATTTTGGACTTATAATTCATTTTGTATGATTTTATAGTTGTAATGCTCTTTTCGATAAACTTAAAGGTATTTTAAAATAAATCAATTACAATTGACACAAAAAGTAGCATTTATATAGTTGTGAACAACTGTCACGCTTAGCAAGTAAATATACTGACGAGTTAAACTAATTTAACAAAAGATATATATTTTTTAATTTCAGTATAAAGTTGAACACGATAATTAATTTTTTCGCTTAAAATTTATAAATCAGTAATGAAAAAATGTAATAAATTAAATTTAATTACTTTCGAACAGTATAAAATTTGGCATTCTTATCTTACACTTCTTTAATTAAAAATGAAAATATTATGCTATTTAATAATAAACCGGCGATAATTTATCGTTATTACTTATTTCTTTCGATAAAGTTAATGAAGATATTTTCGTACGGTTACATTAAAACAAACAAATTATAGAATATATTAAACTTCATGCAAATACGAAATGTTTAACATACCCCAATTTTTACTTGTTCCACAGGATAATAGTACTTAGTTTCATTCCGTTTGGTAATTTGACATCTAAATTAAAATATTAAAATTTTGAATGTCAAAAATACCTACGTGGCTCTAAAAAACGATAAATTACATAAAATTATTTTAAATAAAACTAAGACAAAAAAGTGTGATAATCCTGTTCACTGTTTTCTAATGCCAATTTATATTTTATTTATAGCAGGCGCATTATGGTTTCGGCCAGGCACACAATGGAGCTACCGGGTGGTGAAGGACGGACCCGACATATCCGAACGGACCACTCTTCGCTTAATTCCTGGGGATGCCTTGACCAGTAAGGATTTGATCCACCAGAGCGGTAGGCTGTCATCTGGCGACATGTGTGTTTTAATTTTTTTAAAAAATAACACTAATAGCTATTATTCTAAGTTGGACCAAAGAAAAATTTCATTATTACGAAAGAATCTTACACTCTATTGATATAATGAATCGGTGAACGAAGTTCGATCAAACAACTATTGTTTACTATCTCTTCTTATTTCTCTCTCATATAACAGTACAAAAGTTACTATAATTACCGTAGGACCGTCCAAAGGGTTTTAAAAGGACAAAAAATGAATTCTAATTCTAGTAAAGCTCTCTTTTCTTTCTTTGAGTTAAATATATTACAAAAAATCTGTATAACGAACAAAACAAACAATTATATTATTCTGCACTAAGCATTTATATTTGGTTTTGTTTCCGAAATTTTTTTATGTTGACGAATACAGTAATATATATATAACATGTGTACTTGAAAACAATGATTTCTATATTAATAATTGTGATTAAATATAGCTGTTGTATGTATTCCTGAATTAAGTACTATTATTGTAATTGTTTACTTAAACACATTCTATATTATAACGAGATTGTTATTAATTTCTTACCTGAATTTCTTGTACTTACAGAGCGTGGAAAAAGGAAATGCTATATATTCATGTATTTCGTTCGTAGAAATCGCAAAATCACTTGAAAAATACTAAAAATTTAAGAAACCATAAAAAAAACTATAAATAATTATTATTAAATGATAAAAATTATACAAACAACAGGTGTGGAAAACTTTATCACATCTTCTTTGGATGGATCTGAAAAAATAAAACGTATCGTGAAGGTTATAAACTAGAGTTATATCAATGTAAAAAATTTTTTTAAAATTATAACTATATCGGTGACATCGAGAAACTCGAGACGATAATGTTCTCGAAATAGTTAGCCTGGGGGAGTATTTTGCGCAGTAATATGTCACAAATAGAAGGGACTGATTGATTAGAGAAGATCAAAATTGACGAAAAGTACAGATAAAAAAAAAATGTAATAATGAAGTAAAATTAAACTAAACTAAAAAATAAGAGAATAATAATAATAAAGTCATTCGGAATTTAAGCGAGAAAGGTGTTAGTTAATTTAAATTGTAGTCGCTCGTTAAAATCATCCGAGTTTGAGACTTTGAGTTTGTGAATTGAGGGAACTTCGTGTCAAACATTTCGTCGGTAAATCGCTTCACACGGTTGAAAAAACACATATTTTAAATAGTTACATAAAAGTTGAAACTTTAGAATGGAATCAGAGAATGAAGCTGAGCGTAACTGATGACATGTGGACGACAATTGGTTTAATTCGGTGTAGAACTTGAATATGCAGTTACAGCAGAGACAATGGAAGAGCTAGGCAACGTGGTTCCATGTAGTGGACATGAAAGTCGAAATCTGTTTCCTTTTTCATTAAACTGCGATAAATTTACCACAGTTTAAAAGTTAAGCCCTCATTCCGAGAATACTCGGGCAAGTTCCATAGCGTTACATAAAACTCGATCGTTTGGGCCCTCCGAAAAAATTTATCTTATTTTTTGGCATTTTTGGATGTTTTAATTTTAAGTCTCCAAATTTTTTCAAAAATTTTTTCCCTCGCGAAAAAATTTTATTGAGATTTTATTCTACCTTTAATGACGCACGATTGACGCTTAATTGTTATTTAATGGGATTTTTTTTATTAAATTTCATTCATCGTTCTAAAGTTGTAGTGCACTGATTTTCCTTCGGTAAAGTTATTTAAAACTAGTTTCTGATGTCAGAAACGACCTTCGATAGTTTTTTCATTTTTTCAATTAATAGATTTTATTATATATAAATTTAATTAAGTCGGGGGGTCGGAAATCTCAATAAAAATTTTAACTTTTTAAAAATATTAAAAAATATAGGTCTAGCTGGTATTCACCCTACTGTAAACCCTTCTTCTCCCGAAACGTCTATGATAATGTCCCGGGAAATACGACAACAGCTGTTCTCAAGGTCATCCAGCTGTGTAAACAATGACTGGTCAGTGTCAAATTTCACAGAAAGACGAGACAAGGAAAAATAAAACTTGAAGCTTTTTCTTCAAAATTAACGCTTTTGTTTCGTTTTTTCAGTTTTAAGTTGTTTTTATGTTTAGTTACATTATTTTAAGGAGTTAAGTTTGAAATTGTTTATAAAACTGGTAATATGTGACTTACTAGAAACATGTTAATGTTATACATTTATCGAAATTTTCTGAAATTTTGCTGGGAGGATTGTTTATAAGGGGATTAATGCTATTCGATTTTTGAGGTTAAAGGTCGACAGGGTGAAAAAATAAAGAGAGTCTTGTGCCATATCTGCAGTAGGGAAAGACTATACGCGAAAACTTACCTTATAGCTTGTTTTTTCTTAAAAGAAAAATAGTTATATAACGATGCAAGTATTCATTAAATAACAAGTCTTATTTAACAATATTATTAAGTAAATAACGCATCAATAAAGTAGTTTCGATTTTTCTCTATCTTGGCATAAGTGAAATACATGTTGATAATTTTTGTATGTAGGTCAAGTGTATGTAACAAATCTATATAAAATTAATGAAATTCATATTATATAAAATAACTATTTTATATAATATGAATGTGAAAAAATATAATATTTTGTTTTGTACGAAAGTCAAAATTTACTATTGTATAATAAAGTTAAATTGCATATATATTAATATAGTTAAATGCTTATAAGAAAAATCATCTGTATAAATTTTTAACACATTCTTCTTCTTTTGAACTTTTATTTGTGAAAATTATTTAGGAATTGGCTACTGTAAATGATAACGACCATGGAAAAATTTTGTAATTCACGAAAAATAAACTGAAATATTTTTTGTACAAATTATTTTGTATGAAGAAGATCATCTCTTCATGATTTAATATTGTAATAAGAAAAAAACGTGCTTACTATAAAAATCAATGTAGAGTAAAACGTATCAAAAATGACATTAAAATATAACAGAAAAAAGTTTTGAAATAGAACGATTTTGTGTGTAAAAATACCTGTAAAAAACAAAAACATGCAAAACTGGAAAAAATATTGACTACTGTGCGATTCAAGTTTACACACGTTTTACAGCGGCAGATTTTTAAAAGTTTCTTATAAAGTATCTACTAATTTATTGAAATTATTATTTGAAAAATAATTAATGATAAGTAAACGTTATAAAAAAATTATAATTAAATTATCGACTTGTGTAATAAAGAAATAAAGCACCATAAATCCGAGTTATCCGTGTTTAACGCAATTTTCTCAACTCAAAAATGTCAAAATACTTTTCTGTTATTATTAAGCGTCAAAATTTAAGGGTTTTTTTAATATATCTTATCCGAGAATTTTTTATGTTTTCCAGAAAACAACTGATCACACTGCTCTAAAATCATAAATATTTAACGTAGGAAAGTTTTTTAAAACTCAAACAACTAAGTGCAAACGTCATTCCTGTAGACTTGGTTTCCCCATCCAAGTATTTACTCGAAAATTTCAGCGATATGTATTTTTTTCATATGAAGTTTTTTTCCATTTGAGCGCGTACATGCTTTTTCATATACCAGAAATGGTTAACCATAACACTGTGCTATTGAAACTGCTTTCGAAAACATTTGAAAGTTTGAAATTTTAGTAATATTTAACCTATAAATCTACACGTTGCCTGCTTTCAGTTATAAAAAAATATTCCGAATATGTTTTTTTCTGCATACTTTTCTACTTAATTTTTCTAAAACGTAACGTAAAGTTTACATTTTAAAATAAGTTCGTAAACAAACAATACGATCCTGTATTAGTGACGAAATGTTACATCACACATCTGTGTTAAGTAACGACAATTTTTTTTAACAATATACAGAATTTTCTGTTTTACCTAATACAATGAATAGGCTTATTTCACTCTTTTGTATTTCGTAAAGTTGCTTTTTGGTTCTTTTCATGATTTCGAAATTTTTTCTTAACTTTGATGTAATTAAAATTCTGTTATACGATTATTTTGAGGGATATGCAACGAATTAGTTTAATTTACATTATTCTTCATGAAAAAAATTAATTCAATATTGAGATTGCAGTCGAACGACCTTCTAAAGCAAATTAAGTTCGAGTACCGATGTACCATTGTAACTTCAAAACGTATATAAGACATAAATAATTTCAAACAGAATGAATCGATCTTAGTTACACTAACTTTTTCTGGTTTTTAGCAATAAAATTACAAATAAATCGACCACTGGTTATTATCCCGAAGACATCTACAGATGTTAAAATTAAATTATGATAAAGTATACTCGAAACACTAAAGCCTAAATACATATTGATATCGCCTAAATCTTGCAATCAAAAATAGATATTGATAGAACTGAAGAATAATAATTCAGAAGTTAGTTTATTTTTTTTTATCTAAATAATATAATTAACGTCTTACTTACTCGCTTCTGCTATCAAGAATTTAACCGACATAAATAGAATAAGTAACTCCGTGTATTTCATTTTCGCCTCTTTCACAAGCTGCATTCCCTTAAATGTTTCGATTACAAATGTAGTGAATAATAGAAATAAATATAACCGTGCCCGCAATATCGATTATCGTGGAAGAGGTATAACGATTGCGTGATAATTGTTAAATTTTAAAATGTCGATTAATTATCTTCTGTCGACCTGCAACGTTAATTTTATAATTATTAAAAGAATACGCATTCTGTAAGTTCATTTTCTAATATAAAATAGTAGAATAAAAGTTTATTTATTGTGAGGAAATATTTAATATATTTTTTTACTTCTATATTAATCGTAAATGTAATTTACACGAGCAAAGAATTACTTTCACATAAATTGTAGTATAATCAGAAACAAACAGTTATTTTATAGACAATTATTAAAACATACAAATTGTATGTTGAAATTATATCAGAGATAATCACACCGTTGAAGCAAAAAACTATTTACAGAAAACATTTTGAAGAAATGTAGAGAAAATTCGCAAGTTTGTCAGAAAAAAATCGTATAAAGTAACGTCAAATAGAAAACTCTTTGTTACATTAAAACAGTTATACACTTTTGCATCTATCTTATACATAACCTAGATTTTTATATTCAACCACATGTTTTAAGCTCAGGTATATGTGAAAAGCATTATGGTGCTACAAACGCTTTGGATATTTATAAACAAACGTTGATATTAAATAGATTTTATCTTCTTCGCCCACTCGCGAATATCTCCCGATTTACTTTTTCTTGTTTTTCGTATAATTCAGTTTACCGTTGCTTTCTGCATTTTTGTATAGTCCTGCATGTAAAAGTAATATTAATTTTTTAATCAATTTATGTATCATAACTTACAATTAAGCGTTTCGAAATACATTAATTAATTTATCTATCTTCCTATTATATTTTTGGATGAGCGATTACAGTGTACTACATTAAAAAGTTATTCAAGCTCCTTTCGAGATAAATTTTTAATTGTAGTAACGTAACTGCCGGTCTATGTCGGACCTTTTATTTACTTAATTGCGGCATTCGGTCCCTAAGCTGTGTATCCTCGGCGGTCGTCTACGTAACTCCGTTTTCCTCATTAAATGAAGACAGGCGATCAAACAAACGTACGTACGGATGAAAGGACGACTGTCTGAATTTACGTCTACAGTTCTTGCAAATTCAGACGAAAAGTTTCGTCACAAATTCTAACACTGATAAAGGAATGTTGTAATAAAAATAAAATAAAAATCATAACATGTTATTTCAATGATCCCTGGTTATTATACGACTATAATTTATTCGTATACAGAAATCTATAAATTAAGAATATTTATAATCGAAATTAATTCTAAATAAGAAGTCCATAATGTTTGAATTGTTCATTACTTGATAAATTTTAAAATATTGTAGTATTAATTTTGCACATCTAAACATTTATGTTTTCTATTTTATCTGTAATAAAATGAACATCGAAACACCGACGAATTATCAGCTTTCGTGAAAATCGTATTTGTCAAATTATTGTTTGACCAGACAGTAATATATCAATATAACTAAAGTTAACTAAATTCTCAATTAATGAGAGAGTAATTAAGCTGAAAGGATGCAATAAGGATTTACTGTTTATAGTTTCGTTTTAAATTCAAAACTTTAGTTTATATTTGTAATGATGTTGAATATCTATAATTCATTAATCCATTAAAAGCAACGGAAATACCTGTCAAAATTGAAATGACATACGAGAAAAGTCCATTTAGACGGAATTTCGACCATTTCTGTATCGAGACAAGAATTTTTCCGGAATGTCGATAACAACAATTCTTCAAAAGGTCAATCATTTAATCTGCTGTTTCTGAAGAAAATTATTTATAGTTCTGTTTATATATATGAGAGAAGCATATTCGAATTAATAATGAACTGAACACATCACAGGTTATTAAAAGTATATCGACTATATTTTTACTTTAGTATTCGCGTATACCTAATGTCAACAGTTTAATTCTTAGTTTATGCATAAAGGAATATTTACTTGTATTCGTATAATAGTAAAAGGTTTGATTTAATCTTTTTTTAAAGTACAATTTTATTATTTTACTTCTGTGTTACGTGCAGATTTCTATTTTCAGCCGAACAGTACTGTGCAGTACATCTTACGAAATAAACTGGTAAAATCGTTCAACGTTCTGTTTGTGGTTATGCAAGAAATACAATATACATGAATTACGTGTATTCGTGTGAAAAATGAATGCATGAAATTACGAGTGATTCAATAATAAAAATATTAATTTTTCTTGGAATATTCTAGTAAACTGAATATCTATTATTTATTTCTACATTCTATGTGTACATACAATTGTACAACTATATATATGTATGTAGTTGTACAATTAAATAATACTAGCAGTTAGAGAGTTGTTTTCGCTAATTCAGTGGTTTTTATTCTTTGGTAGCTCCCACGGGCGTCGCCAAATAATACAAACTTTGACAAAGGCGCCGCGTCGAGGTTATTCTCTTGCTCCTAATCAGTGGTTACAAATGATAAAATGATTACTTTCGAATAGACTTAATTTTCTTTTCTACGTAAATGAGTTTTTCGGGGTTAGTGTTAATTTTGCTGTCATTTATTATCTTGTATTTCCTGTCAGGGAGGTCATTAATTAAATCAATATTAAAGAATACAAAACGAATCGCGCGTAAACTTTTGTAAACTTCTCGAAGCCCTTTTCGTTTCTTACAGCGCCAAATCATCGATCTTCAGTTCGAAAATATTCGAGAAATAACATCTTTTGGCGCGCTGTTTTGTGGAACTCATTACTGGCAACATTCCCCGCACCCACTCAACATCTTGGTTTCTTTGAAAAATTCAGGAATCTTCCTGTACGTTCTTCTCTACTTTATATTAATAGGAATGTTGTACCGCATCGTCACAGTTCATTTTACCAATTTAGTGTCGAAAAGTTTCTTTAATATATATTGTGTGTTACTGATATTTTTGAGAGCTTTTCGGATAATTCGGATAAGCTGGTAATCAACTTCTCAAAATGCCTTTTTCTAATAATAGAATCAGTAGGATAGACGATACATCTACAGATATTAGCGATCAGCAAGATCGCTAATATCTGTAGATGTATCGTCTATCCTACTGATTCCATAGTTTGAATATATAGATTAAAGGACAAAGAGTTCGAGACGACAACAGACACTCACAAATATTTCTTTTGGATTTGTTCAAATCAAGTTTCTTAAGGAGCATATCCTCGAGCCGTTTGTATGGACACAAGCATGCATGGCTTCTAATCTTGCGAATTGTGGCCTCGCAATCACTTTAAAGATCACGGATAAGGAATATGTTGTTTTTGACGAAAATGCTAATCTAAGTGAATCGGCGGAAGTCTCCCAGAATCTGGCAACTGAAAGGCAGCAAGAACAAACAGATACTTTAATAGCGTATCTTTAAATCCCTCATCGGATATAGAAATTAGTTGGTGTTCTGTCAGATAAATTAAAAGTAATGTTCAAAATGGTTCTAGCGGTACAATAATTATAAATACAACCACAGATGAAATCAGAAATATTTTTATAATCCCACAATATCAAGTAAAATTAAATGATCAGAAACAGGAAATGAATATAATCTAGCAGTTATTCTAAACGATAGTAACAATTAGTTATATCATTATAGTAATTATTAAAAAACAAATTATATTTGAAGAATGGTTATTAACATTATTTCACATTTTTAGATGATTTTACTCGAAGGAGCATTTTTAAACTGTACTTTACATTTTTTTTCTTTTTCTTCTATTTTAAACCAAAAGTTTAAGTCTAAATGTTATAAAACGATTTATTATTTTTTATTTAATGTTATGACATTGTTTAAAATGATATTTTTGGAACTTTACAGTCATAATTTATAATTTCAATTAAGAAATCCTTATATTTTTGTTTCTTCTTCAAAAGAACACTCTCAAAAGACCTGTTGCTTGTTCATAGCTTGATGCTTGCTTGACAGAACGTGCATTACATTTTTAAAATTTTACAGGTTTTTGAAGGAAGTAAGTTATTTAACTTTTTTTATGTTACCGATTTTTTTTTAGAATTTTTAATTAATATACTATAAACATGTATATATATAGTATAGTATATATGTATGCTTGTGTTTATGTTATAATATATTTATATAAGTGTTTTATAGTATAGCATATATATAACTGTATAAATGATATAATATATCAACCTATTTCTTAGTAATAACTTATCTACATTACTAATGTGAAATTCTTTACTTATGTTATAAGATAATTGGGCTGCAATTTGAAAAAGTTATAGACTTATAAATTCCTACTGTCGTTCGTTCGTCTTTCTTTCCTCAATCTCGAGAACGGAGTTAGATGAAAGTCGAGACCGAATGTGTAAACCTTAGGGGCAGGAGGTCTATATACGAAATTCCGACTCAAACCAGAAGTCACGTTATTACAATTCAAAACTTTTCCCTTCAAAGTAGTTAATAGATCACGCGACTCTATTGTTAACGTAAAAGTATGACGTTCAGAGGCAAACCACTACAAATTTGGAATGGAGAATATATAGTTTAAATCAGTGGTCCCCAACCCCCGGTCCGCGGACCGATACCGGTCCGTGGATCAAACGGTACCGGGCCGCCCAAGGAACATTAAATTATTTCCATTTTATTTACTATGGTGTATTTCCTCGGGTTTGTGCGACTTTTAATGGACGACGGAACAACTGAATAAACTGGACATAAGAAACACAACACACTTCGGGTGTCATTGTCTCCTATTACCCCAGAGGGAACCGTCTCGTTGCAATGAGACAAGCTCAGGGTTCTCATTGATTTAGCGTTCTAGTGAGTTAAAATGTTAAATCACATTATATTCATTTTTTGGTGTAACTGTATTTTATGTTGAAGGCATGTTTAAATACAATTAAATTAAAATTGTTAAATTAAATCAATCTAAAATGTAAACAATCAACGTCCCCCCTCAGTGGGCCGCGGTAAAATGATCAAACTTTGACCGGTCCGCGGCGATAAAAAGGTTGGGGACCGCTGGTTTAAATTACACAAAATAAAAATCTGATTAAAAATCGCATTGTGACCATT